GGGGGGGGGGGGGGGGGGGGAGGTTGCACCCCGCAAAAATCATTACCATGAAGATGCAAATTAATAGACCTCTTGCAGTTCGTGGGAATGCAATTCCAACTGGAGGACAAATGAATAGATTCCAGTTCTCAAGAGGGCAAAAATCTTTTGTTTTGTCCTCCAGATGAAGCTGCTTTAACGTCACATGCAAAGGGTCTATAAGAAAAGTATTGGAGGATACAGATCTCAGGAGGGGATGCACCCACCTCCTGGATCCGCAACTGTCAAATCAATGGACTCAAAAGCGGATATGATTCATAAAAACTCCCCTTCTTCCTCTTCCTCTTTATTCTGGAAGTCGAAATGACCAAACTTACTATTTCTGTTATTATCTTAATATGCTTAGTACTTACCTGACGACTGTAGGGAAGAGTTCGCACGTATAGACGTATATGGTGTCAAAAGCAAATGTAATAAAAAACTTGGCTACCATCGACATGATGACGGTACCGATACGAAACCCTGAAAAAAGATTTATAATTTAGAATAGATCGGCTGATTGGAGTGGTAGACAATTCATCTATATTGCTGATAAGCGCGGCTTGGCTCATTGCAATTCTTGGAAAATTTCCTGACTTCATCGTGGTAATCTTTGTGTGTGTGTGTGTTTTTTAAATTCATTCATTCACAAATCTATATGATTGCATTGTTTTCTATTCGTTTCTTCTTTTTCTGTTTCTTCTTTTTTGTTGTTGCTTGTGCTTTTTTTGGCTTGATAGTTACTAATTAGAATTTCTAGAAATTTTATTACGTCGATAATAAGTTAAGGCATACCTTCGTCTGAGACTCTTGTCATGAGTAGTACCGCAACGGTGGACGCTATGGATGCCATGATCAAACTACCCAATGCGCTCTTCCTTCTTCCAAACCTATCAATAATATAAATATTTTAAAACAAGATATAGGCCGTCGGGTTGATTGATTGTAAGCGACATTAGATATGACTAACATAATAGTATGCATTTACACACATTTAATATTATATTTAGAAGTAATGTGACTCTCATAAAGCCGTCCCGCTTGTAATAGTGCTCAATACGGATGTAGAGCGGAATGTGTGTTAAGATAATGGGACTCGGTTACTCCGAGTTATATTGTTATATTGATTTAAAGTATTATTTTTCTCCGTCTGTACACTCCTTGTTTTTATTTTATTTGTAATCATAGTAGACCGTCTTGCTACAGTGTAGCGATTGATTAAACGAATTAAAAAAATAAAGGTCGATCATTCAAACTCGAATACGCTCAAGCTGATGTCCAACATATTGAGCATCTATGTTTTATTGTTTTACCTATTCATTGCTTTAATGGTAAGGTAGATTGAAGGGATCTCGACGATGGCAATTAAAAAGAACGCGAGATAAATGTTTCCACCAAAAGCGTCAAAGCTGAATAATGCACCCCAGTACACCACCGATACAGCTAACCTAAAAAGCAAAAACCTCAAAATAAAATACCATTTATATGGAAAATTTAGTTAAAGTCGTATGCAAATCATGACGATTCTCTTGTTCATATAGCGGATTTCGTATGAGTGGGAAACGGACGGTACTGTACTGTGACCGTAATCGTACTGTAACCAAAATTCTAGTGCCCCATTGATTCACCAAAATTGTGCAGGCCAGGTCCGGTAACTGTGCGGTAACCGTGCGGTAACGGTGTCCCACTCATACGAAATCCGCTCTATAAAGATTCGGTCACGCTAGTGGCAATGATTTTCCAATGTGCTTACCTATGAATTATTATGATAAAATCAAAAAAAAATGACCAGCATAAAAAAGAAAAGCAAAGAAGAAAGAAAGAAAACCCTGCAAGAAATAAGCAGGAACAATTCATTATCCCTAGACATTAGTWAGTTTACCAATTAAACCAGCTGATGAGGGTGAGACGAGTCATCTTCCAGGAACGAAACAAATCTCGCACATCTCCAACACGCTGTTTTTCCTCCACTAGTGAAATGGGGTTTGGCGGTAATTCTTTGCGGTTTGTACGTGCAATTTTAGCAAAAATTTCTTTGCTTATTTCATGTTTACCATTCGTTATTAGCCATCTTGATGACTCAGGAATGAACCTGGTAACAATAACATGAAGGCAATAGTATAAATAAGGATGGAGGAGGACCTCTCTCTCTTCCTCTCTCTGCCTCTCCATCTCTCTCTTTATTCATCACATCAAAAAATTGTATGTCATTGTGCGGGATCCCTGTGTATTTTTTAGTGTTGGGCTTCCTTTAGCAAATCCAAGCCATATATGGAAACAAACAAAATGGCCGATTGTCGATAAGTGTTTTCGCTATAATATCTGCAATTTTTATGATTTTACATACCCTACCAAGACTAAAGGTACAAGGTACATTATTTTACCGCTGAAAGCGTGGCCTAGCAGATACGATTACAGGCAAAACTCCATCCTACCCCAGACAATGAGACTATATCCTATCCTAATGAAAAAAACTACCCTTTCCCAGGCAAAACTACAACTCTTTCCCAGACAAATGGGCTAAAAATGATACCCTATCCCAGACTTGAAGCTCCGAAAAAAGAACCCTATTGAGCGGCACATACCGGTATAGCAAATATAGSGGAGTACACYCCCCGCACCACCCCTGGTGAGTCAGAATCAAGATGAGAAATTGCTTATGCTTTAAACTCATATATATACTACTCAAAAATTTCGAGAAAAGTTGCTTGAGGAGTGATAAACTGGACTATGGGAATGGATATTGCAGCGATGCCTTGAGAAAATTATATTTGAGTTGATCTACTTCATGCACAACCATGCATAACAAAAACGTTGCAAAACAACTCCTGTTGCACTATGAAATTCTGCAGCAGCATTTGACTGAGAAAATTGCAGTGTAAAATGTTCTTTTAAAAAGGCTTTMGCTCAATTACAACTAAAATTGCAGAAATRTTAATGTTAATTTTTTTTAATAGGCTATACGTACCACCAAAGAAACACTTGTAATAAAGCAGGCGCTGAGGCTGCGATTGAGAGGTATCTCCAGTTTCGTATGAAGTATGCCAACAGAACTAATAGCATAAGTGCTATTGTAAAGAAATACCACAGACTGGTGCCAGCCATTGCCCGATGTCTGACGCCTACGTATTCCACCATCAAAACGAATATAGCAATGGATGAACTGCCTGTTAAAAAGTGGATAATTTTTCAATAATCGATGGGTCTTAACGATGCAAAACTCGAGAAGCATTTTAATGATCGTAATCTACTGTCAAATGCAGAAACATGAGAAAGAATGATGGAAAAAAAAACAAGGCAGAGCCTTGAGAGAGAGCACACCAGTTATGAAATATATACTGAATTTCGATTTCAATTTTAATTTTTCCTTTCTATAGAAGGAAATGAAATTAAGGGCGACTTAATACACTTTTAAGCGTGGATTTCACTAGCGCATAAGCATAGCATAAGCACAAGCATGAGAATCATATGCGCCAGTGAGAACAGGCTCTACATAAGCATAAGACATCGAGCATGCGCACGAGCATATTATTTCGGTACCAAGCTATGCTTATGCCTATGTAGTCCCGTTCTCACTGAGCATAAGCATGAGATAAGCATGAGATAAGTACAAGAAGATCAAGCCTTGCTCGTTTTTCTTGTGCTCATGCTTATGCTTATTTTGAGCCCGTTCTCACTGGCGCATATGACTCTCGTGCTTCGTGCTTATGCTTATGCTTATGCGCTAGTGAAATCCACGCTTTATACATGCATTAGATGAGAAGCATTTAATTCCTTTAGGAGTTATGATTTAGTGATTCGAGTCCAACTTTTAAGATTCCGGCGCATTGTTATCCGAAAGTACTGATGTATCCAAAGCGTAGTACGATTTACCTTAGTATTGTGTCATATCTTTTCTAACTTACCAAGGCAAACACCAACAAGTGCTCTAAGTACAATAAACAGCCAGAACACCTCTGCGAAGGAGGCTATCAAGGCGAATAAGCTGCAGAGCACGGAAGGGAAGTACACGATTGGTTTACGTCCAAACTTGTCAGACAACACGCCACCAAATAACACACCAATCATGAAGCCAGCAAACACAATACTTTTGGACATACTGGACAAACTTGTACGATCACAAACCAGATCCCACTGAAATTTATAGAAACATAATCAAAAGGCACTTCAAAGGGATGGAAATATTATTAATCTAGGATTGCAGTGTGTTGAGGGCATTCTGCGCGAGAACAGGAACAAAATACAAATGTGGTTTCTTGCCTTTTCTACTATATCCTTCATTGCGTTTGAAGGTGAATTATTATTGATTAGGACTTGATGTAGTTGGGATTTATAATGTTTATTTATAAAAAAAATAGGCGAATTCACTTCATGCCCATTTGAAATCTCTTTCCATCCGTCTTTTTCATTGTCAATTAAAATACTCCTTTTTCCTATTCAAAGCGAATAGTTGACAACAGTCTCTCATGCGCAGAGAACTTACCGAAAACTAAAGAAAGCACGAAAAAAATGTTGTCATTACAATAGCCGTATAAATTTGCATTTTCTCCGATTCTGTATTCCAATCAGAAATTTCTAGAGCTATTTTAATGTCAACATTTTTTTCGTGCTTTCTTTTGTTCTCTATGCGAGTGAGTCTGTTTTGTATTAAAACAGCGGTCGATCGAATTGAACTGAAAAAAGGCTTATTTCTATATACTCTATACCAAAGAAACTAGTAACTGTCATAACGATCGACAATAATTAGCATGTTATCTCTCAATTCAAAATGTTGACTTTAGACAACACTCCAATGGCAGATATCGAAGCGAAAAATAAACTCTGAAAGTTTCAAAGAAAAATACTAAATCCTCTTGAAGTTATAAGGGTTAGAAGAGGTATGTAAACGCCAAAACAAGGATATCCAGTCACCATCAAAGAATTCCATACAAATCCCTGTATTTTTATTCCTCCCATAACTTTGTTAGCATTTAGTTTGTAGCTTCAAAACTTTCCATGAGTACCTATTTCTTATAGTTCTTCCATATGACAGTATGAATGTTTCCGTAGTTTTATAATTTGTATAAAATCGATAGTGTGCACTATGAAAGTGTTCTATAGTGGGTGGATTAAATTTTTCGGATCAAATATATAACCCTGCTTTATGATTTCCAAGACTTCTCAAAGCCAATTTTCTTGGTAAAGTCAACCATACTTGGACCGAAGCCGTTTTATACCAGTGTGTCCTACTACGCGTGTGTGTTGACTGATTCAGTATATGGAAGTTCAATTTTTTCGGGATGTTATCGACGTCATGAATGCATGAAGTGGGACTGGGTGTCTGTGGACGAGATTGAGCTACTGTAAAAACCCGGCATATTACCTTAATTTAAGAACATGCCACAATCTTACACCATTTTTCCCACTGCAAGGTTGCACACACGTTTCTTCCCTCAACCTTATTGTCGATTTTGTAGCAATTCATTGACGAACAACATTGTAAAAGGGGAGTTGAGGCTGTGCGTGTTTCATACAATATTGTAAAAGACTGCATTTTGATTTTTGATTTTGACCTTTTTACACAAAATCATTTCAGCCTGAAGTTTCTACGTTCTTAATACCAAACAGTTTCCATTTAAAAGTACTATTTCTCTTACCAAAAGTCAAGCAAGCACCATTTTCATCACAAAAAACCTTTTGAGGCTAAGTTTTAGGTTCTTACACGCGAGATTTGAAAGTATGCGTGAAATGTTATAAGTGCGCAATGAAATAAGACTCAAAATAATATTTAATTCTTCTATCAAAATTGCACGGAATTTTTGCCTCAGTTTTTCAAACGATAAAGGAGAAAACGGAAATTGTAATTGTAATTAGATATACGCAATAATGTACAACAACTTTGCGGATTTACTAGTCGTTATTCTTATCAGAATGCCAGCTCTCTTGCCCCTTTCCAAGTATTGTAAGCATTGCTGGCCTATTTCATGTGTTTAATCGTATTCTATGAGCTCTATATTGGCGAACGTCAGTCATTTGCTTGTCCGAAGAGAACGAGAAACGTTCCGCACCAGCTATTTCAAGCAACTTATTTAGCGACGGTTCTGCATACTTAACTTTCTAGAATGCTGTTATTATTCGCACACAAGACATTTTAATATTAATGGTATAATTAAGCTCGCACTTGTCTTGAGTTTGAAATAGTAGGATTAGAGACTTTTCTTTTTTTTTTTAATCCTAAGTTGTCTTTCAGGATACATAAGTTATGTGTTCCTTTTGTTCTTCATGCAACCATGAAAAGTGCATAAACATGACCATCTTATATCGGATTTTTCTTCGGTAGTCATGGTAACACCATAGCCCTCGGGAATTCAGGGATAAAACGTACCTGCGAATACCTCGGAAAAGTTAGTAAAATGTCCCTCGGTTTAGGGTTTGGTCAAAGTAATTTTTTACTCGGTTTTAGGGGAAATTGTATCCGTAATTTCCCTCTTGATATGGTATAACTTATAATAGTTTTCATAAACCGGTAAATTACAAAATGCTTTACTCATTATAATGTATTTCTCTTTTTTGTTTCTAAGGTTTTTTTTCTTTTTGTTGTTGTGGATGCTATTACTTATGTTTCATGAATTGTTTTATCGGTCCCGTAGTATATAGAGTGAATCATCAGGTTTGAAATATAACTGTGAAGGCTTTAGGTACCACAGCGAAAATATACATCCTTAAGGTTTGCTACTGAATGAGAGATCTATTTTGATTGGCAATCATTTAGTTGTAGTAGTCAATCTAATAGCAGCGATGTTGGCGCTTAATTGTTGCATGGATTTCTATACCTCTTACGAGTGGCTTTCCGTCAACCATGAAAACACTAAGTCTAATAGATATATAGTAGTAGTTTATAATAGAACTATACTAATACTCTAGCTTGTATCCGATTGATATAGGTATAAACATCTTCATCACAAAAACAAGTTTTTTTATTTCAAATTTTAATGGTCATTTTTGTTATGGTAACTAATTTAAACTAAACATTTAATTTATCCAAACTAGTCTGTTGTTTGTTAGCTGTTCGTTTATAGTTTTTATGTCTTAAAGTTATATTAACTAGTCTATTACTTATTGCCACTAACTATTTCTTTTCATGGTTGACGGAAAACTGCACTCTAGTAGAAGTGCGGTGAGCCGGAAACCACTGCACATCACTTATAAGATTCCTATGATGCGCTAGTCACTGATCAACTCACCTCTGATACAATCGAAGTAAATTCACTCGTATCAAACTCCCATTGGTCACGAGRAAGGCTGCATCGTTTATCATAGCCATCTTTCCCAGGTGAGAAAGTACCAGTGACGTTACAAGACGAGCTGTTTTTCACGCAGCGCCATGGAGGCTCCGCAGCCAAAAAGGACGATATCACGCCTTGCCAACCATCTCCAAATATAGTCATGGTACCCATGACCATCAGCAGAAGGAATTGGTATCGACCAAAGCTGCCAATCTTCTCCAAGACCTCATCAGTTGTTATGGGTTCCATTATTGCTGAGAGTACGATTTGCAGACTGAAGCTGAATGTTTAAGAATATATTATCATCGAATCATTGATCTTTTTGTTTAGACATGGATTGTTATTATTATGATTACCGTAGCATGAAACAGTGGAGATCGTATATTTCATTATTATTAAAATGATGTTAACCATTTCGTCAGAATGATTACACCTCAGCTCCTACAGGAAACAGGGTTACTCTAAACTCGGAAAAAAAGATAAATTTTCTTGTGCCCTATTAAAGCCGCGCTGTTCGCTTTGAACTCGAAAATGGAGCATATTGACAAAAGATGATGACAATTTTGTCTTCCAACTCTGTCATTTGTGATAGAGTCGTTCTCATTAACCCGTGGAACACACCTTAGCGCTTTTTTTATTCTTTACTACACTTTATTACACTTTCTCTGTTCTTTTATTCACGAGTAACACCGTGATATTTGCATAGGAATTTTATAAGAACACAATACCCATGTAAAACTGACCCATGTGCCTGCTATTGTAAATGGTTTTGAACACATAGGTGCTCTAAATGTCAAGAAATGCGTTCGTGGAAAATCGCAGTGTAGTCAATAAATTGCGGAAATGGCAATTTTGCAGTTGTATCCTTAATAAATATGAATTTGAAATTTTGTGTGGTGGGCAGAGTATTTAATTTGTTGACAAAGATATTTCTTTTAAAAWATCTGGCTCTAAAATTCTCTCAGGCCCTCTCAACATGAGTTGCGTTCACCTAGTAGAAGTCTTTTGTTCAAAATCAGTGAAAAGAAGAAGAAAAAAGAGTCATTATGGCTAGAGGCACCGTATCTGTCATGTTAACAAGATCTTAGAATCAAAATTCTACAAATTTTCCAAAGTTTAATATTATTATTTTTATATAAATTAGAATTTTCGAGTCCCATTTGATTTTATGATGTATTTATTTCATCATGCTTTCTTGTATGTCAAAATCATACAAAACACGCATTTCTAGAACAGTCCTTTTAGTCACGGTCACACCTTTGTGACTCCCTTGTGAAATATACACTCCAGGATCTGCATAAATAAAATGAGCTTAAAATTCGTATAACTTCCAATACAAATCCTATAATGTGCTAAAATTTGCTTGATCCATGGGTATGTTTTTGTGACTCTAATTAAAAACTAAGCATTTTTAGATATTATTAATAAAACGCATGAGAATTTTACAGAAATTCTTAGT